TGTTCCCCTTCCCCCAATTCCCCAGCACTGTTCCCATCCCCCCAATTCCCCAATAAAAATCTTAAAAAAAAAAAAGTTCAAATTGGTAGTTACAAAATAGTCATGGGGATGTAAAGTACAGCATAGGGAATACAGCCAATAATGTTGTAGTAACTATATATGGTGCCAAGTGAGTACTAGACTTATTGGGTGGGGGTCACTTTGTAAGTTATATAAATGTCTAACCACTATGCAGCACACCTGATTAAACTAATATAATATTGAATGTCAACTGTAATTGAAAAGTAAATTTTAAAAAATTCGTGTACTCAAAATGATACATGTTTTAGAATAAATATAAACACTGTAGAATGTAGGCGTAGAGGAAAGAGGATGGGCATAGGGATGGGAAATAAAAGGAAGTAAGAAAATAGAGTTGTTTTATTATAGTGTGTCCCAAAGTGAGGCATATGCCTGCTCCCTGAGCACGTGAAGCTGGTGGTGGTGGGGGGAGTGGCAGTGAAAAGAGAAAACGAGCTCCAGAGGACGTGAAGCCGGTGTAGCCAGAGGAAATCTAACTCTTGCAGCACCGACTCAGCAGTCAGGAGTCTGTCGAGCAGACGTTACAAGTTGGAGAGCTGGTAACCCTTCTTAGTTATGGCAAACAATACAACTGTCACTGGCCCAAACTTGGCAAACTTGCCAGCCATGCCGTGTTCCAGGGGAGGTGGTTGTCCAGGAGTGAGAATGCCACTACGTGCGGCCAGGCTTGAACCAGCACTGTAAGCAAGGGGTGTGCGGAGAGATGGGCAGGAGGCGAGGCCACAGGTAAGGGCCTCCCGGGTTAGAAAAGCCGCTGCATCGGACCTTGAGGGGACTCAAGGCTGAGCAGAGGATGCTCCTGATGCCCTGCAGGAGAGGTCATGGTTAGGGCGCTTCCCTTACACTTCGGTCAGCTGTTTCAGGTGACCGGCCATTAGTATGAGAGAGATTGAGAGAGCAAGGAAGTGAAGCAGGCACAAAAACTGTGTTTAATAATCAATTAACTGTGGTCACTGACACAAGAACTGAGTGGAAATACAGAGCAGAGAGGCTAGGATTGAGGGCACTGGACTGTCAAAACCAGGAGTCGGGCCTGAAAAGTATCTGTAACTGATCCCTAATACAACGTCCAGGCAGGCAAAGTGATACCACAAGAAGCTGGCCAGAGATGCTGTGTAGCTGCCAGGAAAGCCCTACTCTCCAAGAGCCCGCTAATGTGCCATAGACGATGCGGGCCTCTCAGGGGCCTTGGAGGAAGACCAAAGCAGGGTAGCCAGACATGCTAAGAAATTGTGCCCCCTGACTAGGGGGCAGCCTTCGCACTTTCCGCCCAGAGGATGTGATTGCCTTTCCAAATAGGCATTTCTCCCGAGTACCCTGTTTCTGTTCTACCATTTGATGCTGGGCGGGCCGGGTTGATGTGAGAAAAACAGCAGGTCTTGTGGTTCAAACACAGGCCATGCGGGCCGTTGGAGACTGGGTGGCACTGCGTAGTGGCTCTGTGGGGCCAACTGTGGTAGGAACAACTGTGTCTGCCACCTTGTCCTCCCCTTCATCCGACCTGTAGCAGAGAAGTGACAGCCGCAGGCCCCCGAGTGTGGCCCTGCTGACTAGCCATTGTCTATGTGTCTATGAATGGAAGAACGTGTGCCACTTGTGTTATCACTGCCCGAGTGCAAATCCCTGGCACTGGACTTCGGCTTTGCTTTCCCACCTCCTACTGGCAAGAATGGTGATGAGTAGAGAGGCCTTGAGAGCTGGAGCTGTCATTAGCCGGGTGCCTGAATGACTGGGAGCCAAACTGCTGAAACTATTATGTAACAGGTACACAAATGTTCATATTTTTAGGCCCCTCTATTTTAGGGTCTATTTAAGTGATGACAGGAGTTTAGTTCCCCCTAACATACATTCACATTCTGTCTATATACTGACCCCAAACAGATGAAAACATGAGAAAGTTAAAGCAGACACTTGGTTAGGGGGGTGAAACTCCTTTTTGATTTTCACTGCTGCTATTATAATAAGCACCATGTAAGTTTTAAAGAGAGGACAGAATAACACAGTTTATCTGGACTCTGCACCCAGTGCCTTTGAGATGATACTGCAACTGAGGCTGAAACCACATCCATGGAAGAGGAAGTGGGACTGTTTCAGGCACTAAAATAGGAAACAGAACTTCAAAAAGAAAAATTTTGAGAAGGACACAGGGTGGTATCCTGGATAGCTTCTGGGCAAGGAAGCGTTACAATATTAGATGCTATCTTTTGAACTCTGGCATGACGGGTTCTTTCTGGGCTAGCTCCCTTGACCACTCTGAAATGACAGGTGAGGCTCACAGCCTGCCGTGTTGGCCTGGAGGCTCAGCAAGACGAACTTAATGGCAAACCTTGAAAAGACAATACCAACTTTTATCATTAATCCACTTCTCCATTTCTTGGGGCAAACACTTGGCCACTTGAAGCAGAAACAGGCAGTGGGAGCCAGTGACAGTACAGTAGTTCAGGTTTGGCTCAGTTTCAAGGCTGTGTCACTGGGGCCGTGTGATATAGCTACCCGGTTCTGCCTTGTCACATTTTCCCCATTTATAAACTTTTCTCAGGGATTGCTGGGAGACTCAACTGAAATAAATGCAGTAACATGTACCAGGGCCTACCTAGGACCAGGTCTGACACATACTAGGACCTCACAGATGTGCTTATTCTCTCCTTCTGCAGGAAAAGTGATGGAAGACTGACAGGCAGCCTGGGACAAGCTCCCCCATTGTAGATGGCAGCAGGAACCAGGCTGTGAAGTGGACACAAAGCTGATTCTCACCTGAACTTTGTGGAACATCTGCAGATTAATTGCTTTGACTTCTTCCAGCTGCTGGCGGAGGGCAACTAGAGTGTCCTGCTTCTCGTGGGTGTCCTTTTCTAGTAACTTCATTGCAATTTCCATTTCGGTTTTCATTCCAATTTGTAACTCCAGTTCTTTTTCTACTTCCTTAAAAGGATAGTAACAAGGAAAATATTATTAAAGTAAATCACAGAAATGAATTTAACTGGGGTTGTATCTTGGGCAATACCTGAAATAATAAACTGAAGGTCAGAATAGGTTAGGGAGATTTAGAGAAGTCTGTCTGGAGCATAACTAGGTTAAGCTTTTCCATTTTCTCATTTCACATTGAAAACTGGCTCTGCATCAAGTCAACAGAAAGTTGGTGGCTGGCATATGAGCCCAGGGTTCCAGCAACCACGTTCTTTAAATGCTAAGATTAGAACTTATTGTTTGAAAGAGTGTCTCTTATGTTTTGGTACTAAAGCCATTGGATAGTGCAACGTCAGAATTTCTGGAATGGTTTGCTAGTTTATGGGAACAAAAGTGCAACCATTTTGAAACGGTTCTTTCCTGGATAACTTAGGACAAATGTTCTTCACATCCAGGCAAAGAAGCAAAGAAATGAAGCAGGTGCAAGAACTGTGTTTAATAAAAACACTGGTCACAGACATGTAGATTGGGTGGAAATAAAAGACCAGACAGAAGCTCTGACTGAAGGAAATGTCAAAGAAACCAAGCAGGGCCAGCCGAGTGGCGTGCTGGGTGGGAGTTGGCTTGGGATACCAGCTCTGAGCAGCAGGGCCCTGGTTCGGATCCCACATTAAGGCCAGTGATACTGTGCCCTCTGCAGCTGAGATGGTGAACAGCAGCTCGACCTGGAGGTGGGCCGCCGTGGGTCGCTGGAGACGGTGTGGGCTGCAGTGGGCTGCCATAAGCTACCATGAGTGGCTGGCAGCCAGCGTGAGCGGCCAGCAGCCAGCGTGAGCTGCCAAGAGCCACCGTGATCGGCTGTCCAGTGGTCGGTGACTGATCTGCCTCGCCTGGGAAAAGCGCAATGGTGACACCAACATGAGCCAGTGAGGCGACATCCTCCACAACTAGACTGAAGAACAGAAGGACAGCAACTTGTCTGTTCCCCTTCCCTGATTCCCCAACTCTGTTTCCCTCCCCCAATTCCCCAATAAAATCTTAAAAAAAAAAAAAGGCCAAGCATCTGGTTTCACAGCAATCCCTGAAAAAGGCTTATAAACTTGGAAAAACATAAGTGACAATGCAGAACTGAGTGGTAAACACAGCCCTTGTTTTCTTTCCTTTTTATTTATTTATTTATTTATTTTTTAGCTGAGCCATCCTGCTACCTGTTGGCAGCTCAGCGGCTGCTCAGCTCGGGCTGGACTCGAACCGCTGTTGCTCAGAGCTCAAACTCTTGAGCGAGCTCTTAACCAACTGAGCCACTCGGCCGGCCCTCTTTCCTTTTTTTTTAAAGGAACGATTTTGGACTTACTTTGAGTGTAAGCAGGTTTAAGCACATATGAGGTCTGACAATTACGTCATGAACTCATCCTAGACAAAGTGCTATATACCTCATTGTTGAATATCACTACGGTCACCTTCAAAGTACTCTCCTTGGGAAGCAATATACAGATGCCAGCACCTAGTCCACCCTTCATAGCAATTTTGGAGCTCTTTTTCTGGAATGGCCATCAGGGCTTTCGTCATATTGCCCTTGATGTCCTGAATGTCATCAAAATGTCTTCCTTTCAACATTTCCTTTATCTTTGGGTAAAGAGTCATTGGGGGCCAGATCAGGTGAGTAGGGAGGGTGTTCCAATACAGTTATTTGTTTTCTGGCTAAAAACTCCCTCACAGACAGTGCCATCTGAGCTGGTGTATTGTCATGATGTAAGAGCCATGAATTGTTGGTGAAAAGCTCAGGTCATCTAACTTTTTCACGCAGCCTTTTCAGCATTCCCAAATAGTAAACTTGGTTAACTGCTTGTCCAGTTGGTACAAGTTCATAATGAATAATCCCTCTGGTATCAAAAAAGGTTAGCAACACCATTGTAACAAGTTCACAAACTTAATTGTCAGACCTTGTATGTGAAAAGTGCTGACAGAAATAACTTACAGTGCTTTTTCAGTGCTTTTGGAGAATCCTTTCCAAAGATACTCACCAAACGGACTTTCTTCTCCTCTTTTAGTTGCTTCCATACATCACTATACAATTCATCTAGACCTTGCCGAGTTTGCTTGTAAGTCTCCAGCTCAACTTTTGTATCCTGTTTTGTTATCTGTATCCAACAAGAACACCAAACAGGAAAAGTTTACTTATGGGAAGCAAGCTAACTACAAAATACTTAAAAACATACCATACTTTAAAAACATGTAGCATAATTTCTATTTTTAAGCATAATACAGAAAGGTTAAAAATTTAAAGACATTTTGAAATATTTTTGAGCTTGCGGATGAAAATAAGCCAATAGATTTTTTAAAAGAAAATTTAGGTTCAGAAAACAATTTATATTTACTTTTCTTTAAAACAGAACAATAATTCTTAGTGGGAAAGGCCCTGGCCCCCATTCAATCCATCCTTCAGTATTTATTGAGCATATTTTTAGCAGTGGATGAATCCTGAGATGAATCAGATACAGTCTCTACCTTGAAGTCATCAGGTGAGACAGCTACAAGCCAGTAAGTCTACAAAACAGCAAACACATTCTACAAAGGAGGGATGTGCAAGGAACAATGGGGACATGGAAGGAGGAGGGCCCAGGCCCACTGATGGGTACTAGGGATGGCATCACAGAGGACCTGGCACATGAGCCCAAGTTGAAGAGTATTCAGGGACTTTTACGTGCAAAGACCCAGAGGTGAGTGAGAAGTGAGCCTGGGAAACCTCAAGGGGTCTAGGTGGTCTGAGAGTGACAAGGGAGGGCACGGCAGCAGGAGGCATCTTCTGAGGACTGGGTCATTATTAAATTCTGAGCTTGAGGTTTGGGATGGACATGACTGAGTGAGAAACATGCCACCAACTGTGAGGTCAATTTCTCACCTCTACACTCTTTTCACTTCTTTCACGAATTAATTCATTTTGTGCTCTTAATTGTTGCTGTTCTTCTTGAAGTGAACAAATCCGGTCTGTTGCAGCTGAAAGCTGATTGAGAAAGATTTTTATGTATTTTTAAACATCAAAATTAATCTTACTGTTCAAATTAAAATCTAACATTTGGCATCTTCACAATCGACAATTTATTTTCACATAGTTGATATTTTATTTTACTTCCTTGTTTTGAAGAGGTAATACATTCACATGGCACAAAATTCCAAAAATATAAAAATTATATAGTAAAATCTCTCTCCCACCCCAGCCCCTAGCCGTCTCTGCCCTCTCCAAATTTTCTCCTTTTACAACAATGATACAGAATGTGGGCAAAGATTTATGGACACAAAATACTAGCAACAGCCTGAATGTCCAGTATTCGCGAAATGGTTTAATAAATGACAGTGGAAGCATAAAACAGATATATGTAGTTATTAAAATGTTTACAAAAGCTTTTGATAACTTGAGAACATACTTAGAATACCAGTATGGAAATAAAATAGGTTATATAGTATGTCCTCACCTCTAATTAAAAATCAACTATGTTAAAAATGCTTAAGAAAAGATGGGGACCTTATATAACACATGAGAAAGATGGGGATATACACCACATGATAAAAACACTTCCATTTAGCCAAGGGACTTATGGGCTTTTTTTCTGATTCTTCGTTCTCTTCAGTTTTTCTAGCCAATGAGCAAAAGGACGTTTTATCACGAGAGGGAGAATTAAAGAATTCTGGAGTAGGAATCACAACCACACCATTAAAGATGTGCCCGAGGGAGACATCTTCCTTTCCTGGGATGAGTTATCGTACTTTAGAGAAAAGTCTATAGAAGCAAGATGCCTTGACGGACCTGCTAAGGAGAGGCTAGCAGGAGAGGCAAGGCAGACGAGTAAATACAGTGACCACCCCCTCCTTATCCAACTTCTGAACACAGTCTGGAGAGAAGGTGAGGCTGGAGGAGAAAGAAGCAAGACATCTGCCCTTGGCACTTGGCTATGCTCTTAGCATCACTCATTCATGGGGGCCTTGAAGCACGAAGCTCTTCATCTCAGTCAACAGCAACGAAGTCCACTCAGAATCAGAACCCAGGACGGGGTCCTAAACCTAACTGCCACGCCCCAGTAAGAGCCTTTAAGGCTATAAAGGAGGTGCTCGTAGCTACAAGGGAAGACACAGGCAGAACCCATAGCTAGTTCCTGTTCCACTTTCTGAAGATGTACACAGCACATCCTGAAGAGAAGTTCACTTTTCTCTAACGCACATTTTCTTTTTTTTTAAGATTTTTACTGGGAAATTGGGGGATGGGAACAGTGCTGGGGAATTGGGGGAAGGGGAACAGACAAGTTGCTGTCCTTTTGTTCTTCAGTCTAGTTGTGGAGGACGTTGTTTCACTGGCCCAAGTTGGCACCATCATTGGCACCCAGCAGCGAGGTGACGAGGCATATCAGTCACCGGCTTCTGGATGGCCGCTCACAGCAGCTCTTGGCTACACACGGTAGCCCATGGCAACCCACTGCAGCAGGGGCTGCAGCCTACACCGTCGCCGGCAACTCACGACAGCCCAGCTCCAGGTTGAGCTGTTGTTCAGCATCTTAGCTGTAGAGGGCAGTGCCACTGGCCCTCATGTGGGATCCAAACCGTCTAACGCACATTTTCTATTACAACTGTTTGCCTTTGAAGAAAAAATAGCCCAGTTGTTCAGTTTCAAAAGCTAAATCAGACCTTCATTCAAAGCATGCCACCTCACCTAGGAGAACAGAGTGAATCTGCTTGTTTTAAAATCAATTAATGTCTCTTGAGTGCCTTCCACATGCCAAGTGTTGTATTAAGCATATTGATATATTAATGTAACACTTATGACAATAGTGTAAGGTTTGGATTATCACCCAATCTGGAGATGAGAACTCAAACACTTGCCGCTGAACTGAGGCCAAAAGGCTCACCACTCACGGTGAGTGGGAGTCCTCCAGTGAGGCGAGGTCTCTCCTGTGACCCTAACTATGAATGCTGCCTTTGAACTTCCTTCTCCTCACACAAATCTGAGCTCCTCTCCTGAACGCTTTTCAAGGCTGGCCCCTTGGGAGACGGCAGTCAGTTTTAAGTGAGCCCTAAACCTAAAGGGAATCCGTCACAAAGGCGGGCTCTCCGGCCCCTCTCACAGCCCTCTTCCTCCCCAGTGAGACTTAGCGGGGAGGCCCGAGCAGCCAGGGACCGCTACCTGTGGAAAGCCTCAGAAAGGCTGAGCAACACCCCTCCTGCTAACAGGAGACAAGATGTGTTCACCAAGGAGACTGCCGGGCAGCTGGCAGCAAGCTTTCTTCCTCGGCCTCAGCCCTCCTTCTTCCTGTCCTTTCATTCTCTCTCTTCCTAGTGAGAAAGCAGAGAAAGACCACACTGTGGGGAGACTGGTTCCATGCTCCTGAGAGGCCACAACACAGAAGGGGTGGGCGAGGGTGCTTGGATCTCGGAACAGTCTGTGCCCTCTGGGCAGCAGGGAGGCGCACTCACTACACCACAGGACAGGTGGGGACGAGAAGGACAACGCATTCACTACAGGAGCTGGGCTTTCCCAGTGAGGGTCACTGAAGTCACTGTGAACCGGCTCCTGGTCAGCTGCACTGATCCGGGGGAGCACCACACAGGGCAGAAGACACAGCCTGAGGGCGCCTGTCCCAAGTGCAGCTCAATCAAGATCCGCAATCCCCACTCCAACCAGCGAGCAGCTCTGGTCACAAACACCGACGGCACCATCTCTCTTAACTTTGGGCTGTTCTATTTTAAGAATTTCGGTAAGTACAAACCTCTTCTTGAAGCTTTGAATTAGTCTTTTCCAAGCCATCTATCTTGGTTTGAAGATCCCCAACTGTGCAGCTGTGGAAAATACAATATTAAGTAAATGTGAACTTATAAAAATGACTGTTTTCCCAACCTGTAAACAATGAGAATAAAAATGCCCAGATTTCCTGTATGAAATGAAGTCTAAGGGTTCCAATTAACCCAGAGAAGAGAATTCTAAATATATATTATATGTATGTATGTATGCATTTATTGAAAAGTTTTCAATGTTTTCTCCCTAAAATATGCTACCCAATTTTTTTTTTTAGTTAACTGGAAAGATAATAGTTTTTTCCCCTAACACAATAAACAGGAACCAAAATGTGTTGGCAGTCACATATCTACAGTAATATTCGTAACAAGATATTGGTACTTTTGGGTAGTAGGTTCAAAGGTGATTTTAAACCTTTTTATACTTTGCTCCATTTTTCAAATATGTGAAAAGCTCGCGTATTAGTATTGATAAGCAATACTAATAATAACTACAGCACTAGCAGTACTAACTTTCTCTTTGGACGATGTGCCAGGCCCTGTTTGTTCTAAGCACTTTAAATGCATCCACTCATATAATCCTCCTCACAATTTTGTGAGGTAAATCTTATTGTTAGCCTGTTTTACAGACAAGAAAACTAACTTTACATTGAAAACCTCAAGTTCACACCCATACGAAGGGGCACCAGGGTGTGGACCCAGGCGGTGTGTCTCAGAGCCCACACTTATAGGCAATAGGCCCTGGTGCCTTCCGCCCATGAGGGGCCCAGGAACACGCCTGGCCAGGCTAACGAGTCAGGGCCCAAGAACCGACGGGAGTTTTCAGCAACTGTGAAGCTGGGAAGATCCCGACCAGGCCGAAGGATGTTGGATCTCATTGTCCTTCCAGCCCTTCAACCCTTTCCTAAAGCCCCTCAATAAAATTGTTTGATTCACACCCACACCCCCCAAAAAAAATTTGGGTGGGAGAAAAATAAAAATACAATGATACAAAATGAAAGAGGGGACAAAAGATAGAGAGAAAATTAAAAGTTTAAGGGTACACAACTGTCATTTCTATACCAACTACATAACTGAAAAAATATTAATAAAATTTATGTATTTTTTAGAAAACATAAATTACCAAAAATGACAGATCCTGCAGATAAGAAAACCCAGATGAACTAACAACTGAGGAAACACTGAGACCCTGGCAAGGTCCTAGCTCCCAGGCTCTAAGCTCCAAACGTCCAAGGAACAAATGTGAACTATTGTAGAAGGCGTTCCCAGGCATGGAAACCAGGCAAAGTACCCTAATTCGTTTTGTGAAGCTGCATAACCCTGATACCATGGTACATGGAAAGAACTACAGAACAGTCGGGTCAGGTTACATGTTAGGAGAAGGAGAACAGTGTCTCCCAACACCGACAACCTCTGCCCAGTCCTCACCAGCACCTCCAGCAACTAGTGTTTGAAACGCAGCAGCAGCTTTCCAATTAAAATACAAAATCAAGAGAAAGATGCCTGCTATGGCTACTGACTTGCCCTCAGGTCTGGCCCAGTGGTTCCCAACCCTTCCTGCCGCAGCACACTGCAGGGATGTGTGCTGACTCCCAGCAGCAACAATGTTTCCCACGGTGGTGACTTCCAACCAAGTGGCTGTGGGGTGAGGGGCGGACATTCAAGCTTTTATTTATTTACTCTCTAAATTTTATAACTGCACAAAACAAAGAACCAAAGAATTCCCAAAAGTTCTTTATCAAGAAATCATACTTCTCCAGTATATACATGCGAGCATGGCATGATAATCTATTTTCTTGGTTTGGGAAAAAAGTTAGTTATAAATATATGGCAACTCAAAAAATTTCACGAAGCAATTCTCAGGTACTGAGAATGAAACGTGACACTGGAAAGAAGACCCAGCCTTACCTTAAGTGCCGGTTAAGCTCTTCCACGTAGTTTTTTTGATCAAGGACATCAGTAATTCTTTCGTGCCTTTAAAAATAGCATTAAAAAAAATTCTTTTTACTGAGGGTTAACACTTTGTAACTGTCTCCAACCTTCCAATCACCTTGTGGGAGGATCAATGGCATAAGCAAACCAAGAGATGGTCAGAGTAGTGATGTCTGCACGGTCCTGAATGACAGCAAGGCTGGAGGGGCCCTGGGGAACACAGAATCATGCCAGAAATAGGAAACACACTGCCTGGAGAGCAGGTTCCCTGCAGACGCCCTCCCACCCCTGCGACTGGCTGGGCATTTGGGAAGAGGACAGAAAGCCATCGGCGTGCAATGGCTTTGGCTCTTGATGTGGCAGATGAAGCGGCCCTTGTTAGACTGAAGGAAGGAGGCTGGCTCAGAAAAGGAGACTGACTTTTCAAAACACAAAGGTGACCAGTGTGGGTTAAAAACAAAACAAGAAAAGACTAACATTTTAAAGTTAGCCCCTTCCCAATTTCTTTACATACATATATATGTACAGATGCACATAAATGGGGTCATTCTATACAAGTTCACGCCACAGGTGCTGGACTTGTTTTTCAGTGCTGTCATTTCTTTCCTTTTACCTGTTCTGCCCTTTACATTGCTCTCCCAGTGACCCATATTGATACCCTGTTGAATATCCCATGTGCATATATAATCATAATATCTACTTCGTATATGTATATAGTATATTTAATTAAAATATAAACTATATACTAGGGATTTTTGGGGTTTATTTTAAAAAATGGGATATATATACTTCTCAGTATAATACTTTTTTCACTCAATAATACCTTATAGAAATCCCTCTAAGTCGGCTACACCAGTAGGTCAAGTCTGTTCCTTTTTTAGGTCTGCATGATATGCCAGCGTGGAATATTATGGATGTTCCATAATTCCTTCAATTATTCCCTAACTGATGGATAATCTGTTTATTTCCAATTTTTTTAACATTAAGAATATATTTTGTTTAAAATTAAATTAATGCATGAAGCATTAATGGGGTTCCCTCTGGTTCCTTCCTTGGTAAGGTGTGCTGCCAGGGCGGCAAGACTGGGGGTCCTTGTTGGGAAGATGTTTGAGACAGTTACTGGGAGCACATGGTAAAGTAGTCACACACGATCCCTGGGTTTACCCGGAAAGTCCCTCCAGTCCTCTTCCCGCTCGGGCAGCACTGCTGTCACGTCTATGTGTCACTCTAGAAATGGTCCAGGCGTACAGAAGCACAACATATAAATAGGGGTGTATATTCTTTATCATAATGTACATGGTAGCGTGTTATATACATTGTTGGCTTTTTTTCTTTTTTTTCCCCCCCAGGATAATGTTTTTTAAAAGAATTGTTCTTGTTAACAAGGATGCGGGGAGAGCTATATGTGGGATGAAAGACATCCAAGACACACTAGGATCAAAGAACAAGTCCAAGGGCAACTTACTGATATAACAGTACCATCCCATTTACATTCAAACAAACTGTAGAGCAAAATATGGGACCAACAAAGATATGCCTGCGGGGCATCAAAAAGGCTCGGAAGGGGGCGTGAGTAGCTTCCTTTGAGAGAGGAGTTGGGAGAGGGACTGACATGGAGACAACGGGCAGTGTGAGGGAGACACTTCACTTGTACTCTGTATTCCACAGAGCATACGTCCTTAAACAAGGGGAAAACTACTGTATTACCTCTGTAATTAAAAACTGTCAAATAAAAACTAAAATTTCAAACAAAGCAAAAACAAGTGCAGCGTTCTCTGCCAGAATTTCATGAAAAATGTGAAGCACAGCAGCGTGCAGTACAGGACTTACTCTCTGCCACCATTGAGCTCTTGCACATCCTTCAGGTAGAGGGAAAAATCGATCACTCCAACCTGATCAAAATAAAATGTACGAGTTTAAATGAAAACTAACTTTCCTGCTTTCCACACAAACCTTATCATCTTTAAAATTCCAAGTATTCACATTCCTGTCTATTTTATACAAATATTTAGTTAGGCTAAACAGCTCTATAAAATAGCAATCAATCAAACAAACAAACCAAGAGAAAAATAACCCCACCACCTTTTACAAGAAAAACATACTGAAAATCAGAATTTAAGGGAATATTCTGAAATTTTGCCACCTAGTTAAAATCAGCTTTGTTATTTATTTAATAATCAAGTTGTTGACAAAGTTATTTGGATACAAAGTAATAATAATAAAAGAGGACCCCTGGACCTCTAGGCTACCGTGGTGACCTTGGCTGAAACTAACCATCCTTCCACGGATTGTGGTGAAACGGTCCAATCAGTACTCCAGGGGAATTCTCTGCTGCTGCTGCTGCGGGGAACTAGGCAGGACCAAGACCCTCACACATGTCAGCCTCAAGGGCTTTGATTGGACATAAAGCACTCGAGAGAGAGTGACAGTCCTACTCTGCCACCATCCACTGCAGCGTAAGTGAAGCCATTCCTACTTGAAACATAAGGATACTGGGTCCATCAGTAGACAAATGTTTCAATCAACACTTTATAACCATATCACAGAATCCTCTGCAACCGTAACAAAGAATGTAGCAGATGGATGAGTAATGAATGATATGAAGAAAGCTCCAGGATAAAATTTTAAGTCAAAGAACAACACGTACAGCATTAACTCCTGATATGTTACTCTTCACAGTAATCCCACTATGTGGGATGGTTTGTGCAACCCACCAATCTATATGCCCGACCCTTGAACCTGGGCTGTCTTAGTGCCTGTCTTGATAAGTTAGAAAGCAGCAGAAACAATGCTCTGACTTCTGCTGCCACATTAACGAGGCTGAAACAAACTTCTTGGAGCTTTCTCTCAGGGCATACACCTCTGAACTTCTGAGCTGTACTGAAAAAAGTCTGGCAACCCTGAGCCACCACCATGTTGGACACTAAGTGGAGAGACCGCCTATGGACACAGATGACGAGGAGCCCCGGCTGCCGCAGCCCCCAGCTCATGGAGCTCCTGGGTCTGGAAGGCAGCCAAGCGAGAGCAGGTCTTCCGTGATTCCTGCCCCAGCCATCAACTGACTGCAGACACGGGAGCGCTTAGGAAAGAGCCCCTTTGACGCAGTCAGCCCCCTACAGTGAGAGGACCACCGTTATTATGGGCCTGCTGACTTGTTACACAGATACAGACAAAACTTATGTGTACATAAGTGCATAAAAAGGTAGAAAGAGTTCTAGAAAGGGTTTACCCCCAATTTTCCCCATTAACTGTGGGGACGAGAGTGGGATTGAGGGGGAGAGGAGAAGGGCAGTTTGAACTGCATGCATATCTTTTGAAATAAAAATTAAATAAAAAGAAATATTTAACTGGAAAAAACCAACAATAGAAAGGGAAATAATTCATACCCAAAGTAGAAATTAATGGATTAGAAAGCAAATATAGTAATACCTTGGTTTGCGAGCATAATTCGTTCGGAAAGAAACAACTCATATTGCAAGACATCGCTCGTTTACCATGTTAAAATGTATTAGAAATGTTTGATCGTCTTACGGAACACTCGCAAACCAAGTAACTCACAATCCAAGGTTTTACTGTAAAGCCCTCCTCCCAAATCAGAATTAATAAAAGCAAGAGCGGGTTCTTTGAGTTCAACAAACCAGACCGACCTCTACCAAGTATGATCAGTATTTAGCAAGTGCACAGTATTACAAATGAGGAAGATGAGGTTTTAAGGAGCTGTAAGAGAATCTGCTCAAATAACTAATAGATCTGAATGAAACGAATGGAAAAATATAAGTGACCAAAAAGTTGTCCTAAGACTTAGGACACCAATACATTGACCAAGGGCTATGAAAAATCTTAATGTGCTCTGAGAAGTAGGAACAAAAAAGGCAGGAAGCTGAAGTGGTCATACCAGCAAATGCTTATAAAACTTCTTTTTTTTTTTTTTAAGATTTTTATTGGGGAATTGGGGGGATGGGAACAGTGGTGGGGAATTGGGGTAAGGGGAACAGACAAGTTGCTGTTGTTTTGTTCTTCAGTCTAGTTGTGGAGGA